GGGGGAGGTGGCCCTAGATGCAGGTCTCGTTGCCGGCCGTCCCCTGCTCCAGTGTCTGTAGCCTGTGGGCCAGTGCCTGTGCCTGCCGGGCGTGCTGCCTGCAAAGGGCACCCGCCTGCGCCTCCAGCCGCCGCAGCTGGGCTGCCTGCTTCCGACGGGCACCCCGGTACCCCAGGGCCAGCGCGCTGGGGGGACACAGCGTCAGCCGAGGGCACCCAGGGGACCCCGGGGACCCCAGGGGACCAAGGGGACAGGAGGGACGGTGGTTTCGGGGTGTGCAGGGAGGGATTGAGCACCAGGGATGCTCTTGGGGTGAGCAGGAGGGGACCGAGCATCAGGGGTGTGCGAGATGGGACACGTTTTTGGGGTGTGCAGAGAGGGATTGAGCACCAGGGATGCTCTTGGGGTGAGCAGGAGGGGACCTAGAGGACCCCGGGGACCCAGGGGACCAAGGGGAGAGGAGGGACCATGGTTTCGGGGTGTGCAGAGAGGGGTTGAGCACCAGGGATGCTCTTGGGGTGAGCAGGAGGGGACCGAGCATCAGGGGTGTGCGAGATGGGACACGTTTTTGGGGTGTGCAGAGAGGGATTGAGCACCAGGGATGCTCTTGGGGTGAGCAGGAGGGGACCGAGCATCAGGGGTGTGCGAGATGGGACACGTTTTTGGGGTGTGCAGAGAGGGATTGAGCACCAGGGACGCTCTTGGGGTGAGCAGGAGGAGACCCAGAGGACCCCGGGGACCCAGGGGACCCAGGGGAGAGGAGGGACCATGGTTTCGGGGTGTGCAGAGAGGGGTTGAGCACCAGGGATGCTCTTGGGGTGAGCAGGAGGAGACCCAGAGGACCCCGGGGACCCAGGGGACCAAGGGGACAGGAGGGACCGTGGTTTTGGGGTGTGCAGTGAGGGATTGAGCACCAGGGATGCTCTTGGGGTGAGCAGGAGGAGACCCAGAGGACCCCGGGGACCCAGGGGACCAAGGGGACAGGAGGGACCGTGGTTTCGGGGTGTGCAGGGAGGGACTGAGCACCAGGGATGCTCTTGGGGTGAGCAGGAGGGGACCGAGCATCAGGGGTGCACGAGATGGGACACGTTTTTGGGGTGTGCAGGAAGGGACTGGGCTTTAGGGTTGTGTGAGACAGAACCCGATTTTTGGGATGTACAAGATGGGTCAGTGTTTTTGGGGTGCACAGGAAAGGATAACGCTTTTGGGGACATACAAGAAAGGACCACGCTTTTGGGGTGGGCAGGTAGGGACTGCACATTGGGGATGTGCAATATGGGATGACGGTTTTGGGATGGGAAGGAAAAAAGGACTGGTTTTGGGGCGTGGAGTTGGGGACCACACAGTGGGGGGGTGCAGGAAGGGACCATGATTTTGGGGTGTGCAGGAAGGGACCATGATTTTGGGGTGCGCACGCAGGGGAGATTTGCATCCAGGACATGCAGGACTGTGGTTTTTAGGGGGTGCAGGGGCAGAGGGGGGGGACATCACACCCACCACCCACCCTGGGGGGGAAAGGGGGGGTCTCTTGCCCACCTGTGAGCGTGGAAGAAGTCTGCGGTGAGGGCGACGCACTGCGCCTGCTGCGCGCGGCTGGTGGCACTGCTCTGCTCCAGGGACACCACCAGCGCCTGCGACCGGGCACGAAGCTCCTCCACCCTGGGGACAACCCGGATGGCAGCCAGTCCCGTGCCAACACAGCTCCCCGGGACACCCCACTGAGGTCTCTTACCTGGCCAGGGCACGGCGAAGCTCCTCCGCCATCCTCTCGGGGTCCGGGGGGTGTCGGGGAGACCCCGCTCCCAGCTGACGGGTCTGGGCATCCTGCAGAAATCAGGTGTGGGTCCCAGCCATGGGGAGACCCCCCAGCCATGGGGAGACCCCCCAACCCCGGGGAGGGTCCCCATGGGGAGGTTATGGGGTGGGGAATCCTTACCTCCTCGCTGCTGCTGGAGCTGCTGGAGGAGCTGGGGGGGCGGCCGAGCCCCTCATCCCGCTCCCGCTCCAGGTGCTGCAGCACCAGGCGCAGCGCGGCCTCCCGCGGCCCCTGCCCGGCCACCAGCACCTCCAGCCGCCTCTTCTCCTTCTCCATCAACTGCAGCAGCATCTTCAGGTCGGCCATGGCCTCCTGGCATCACCACCGGGTTGGGGAAACTGAGGCACGACCCTAAATCCCCCCCCTAAGCATCTCTCCCTCCCATCCCGCATCACCCCCTGCCCTTTTCCCTGCTCCACTCAAAGCCTGGACCCCACACAGAGCTTGGAGGGGGGGACACCCAGGAGTCTCCCTGTCCCCCCCCCGCCCCCGGACCCCCTCCCAGCTCACCTTGAGCATTGCCAAGTCCCGCAGCAGCTCCGCTTTCTCCGGTCGCTTCCAGCCGTGCAGGAGAGCCCTGGCATCCCGCAGCGCCCGCTCAGCCCGGGCACGGGCATCCTGGCTGCGGGGGGTGTCACCGCGGGGGGGTGAGGGGGCATCACGCAGGGACGCCTCCACCGCCGCCTGCTCGGCCCGCAGCCCCCGAATGTGCTCCCTCAATGCCCCCTCCTCCATCCCACGGGGCGCCGGGGTGCTGTGGGGATGGGGGACACGGCTGGAGGGGGGGGGTATGGGGGCATGGTGCCACCCCAGGGACAGCACAGCCCTGGCCTGGCATCCGAACCCCCCTTTTTTTTCCCTCCCCCAGCACCTCCGCAGCCCCGGGGACCCGCTGTCCCCACTCTCCTCCGGGCTGTCCGGCTCCGCTCGCCCCGGGAGCTGCGGCCCCTCCGTCGCTGTGGGGCTGGACCCCCATCTGTGCCCCGGGCTCTGCTCCCCTGCGGCTCCTGG